TCTTAATTATAAGAATGATTAAGAGGGTTCTCTAAGCATCGAGAGCCACAAGCATGTTGTCCATGATCCACCAAAAACTGGCTGCCAATTTGCTCATGACAGCAAATGCACTTGCATCGAGTAGAAAATGCGCAATTAATTGTTGTTTGTGAGCTTATGATCGTCATCTTTGAACCTAACTCCACAAAAGTGCATGCGTAAGCTTGTCAACTTCAACGTTTTTGGTGTTTCCATTTAATAATGCTAGGAATATTAAATTTATAGAATAAATTCCGTAAATTAAATGATATGAAAGTTGATGATTGAATTATTACTTAAACGTTGATAAACGTGCTCATTTCCTATTGATGACATATCATTTAATTTACAAATTTAGTCTCCCTAGCATTACTCTGTTTCCATTACTTAGATTAATTGGCCCACTTGATTTCATGCGGATAAAAGCCACCGATTGTGATTAATTAATTAATCCATTGTTAGTTCAACAACGACTTTGGAGTTAAAGTGATTAAAATTATATTATTAGGCTTCAAATAAATAAAGGCGGGTAGAAACAAATAAGTGCACAGATGAAGAATATATTTGTAACATCCCACATCGCTTATGGAAGTGGATCTTATAAGCCTTATATGTATATTCTCATCTCTATCTAGCACGAGGCTTTTTGAGAGTCCACTGGCTTCGGATTCCATAGGAATTCCGAAGTTAAGCGAGTTCGCCTGAGAGCAATCCCAGGTTGGTGACCCACAAAGTCCACTTATTAAAGGCAAGGCGCTTTTGAAAAGGTCTAGAGTGGAATGAGCGTCTCTTTGGTTGCGTCGAGGGACACTGTTAGGTTGTCTTCTCCAATTTTATTTTTGGAATGAGACTTCTCTCCATCTTTCACTCTTTGTGACGTCTGACCCGTGAGCACGAGACAATTTATAACCACGATTTCAGATTTGTTTATGATTCTAGCTAATAGCATTTTTCAGCTTCGAACTTTCTAGCCACTAGCAAATGTTAATAGTAGTACATGGCTCATCTGTGCATCATTGGAAACGAAAAGTTGGAATGCTGGAGTTCCAACTAATTTCCCTCTTGACAGATCAATATGTATTTTAATTCACCAACCACAATGAGAATGAAGAAAGTTGAAGTTGTATTATAAAATTCAAGGAAAGTTTCACATGGTCAGTTATGAGATTTTTGAAGTCTGAGACAACATTAAAAAATGTGCCCTAACTTCATATAAGAAAAATTATTTGGTTTCACGACTATGATAAAATTATACTTAAAAAACACTTCAAACTCAATAATATAGAACACACGGAAAAACTAATTTATTTTGTATTATGAGAAGGGAATCGAAAAACCCCGACTTACAAATAGAGAGATGATGAGTTTTGTTTTTCTTTTACGTAACATTTAAATTGTTTTATGTAAATTTTGAGGTATTTTTTCTTATTTACTAACCTTGTCAATATGGAACTAAAAAAAATAATCATAGTTTCGAGTCTTTAATTGATATATATAAGCAATGAATGAGCACTAAATTAAACCTATTGGTGACACATCATATGATATGTAAATTTGGTCTACACATTACTCTTTGTTGAAGGTTAGACTTGAACTGGAATGAATGTTTAAAAACTGCACATAGCTACTAGTTAGTCATTAAAAAGAAATTAACAACCAAACAGAAATTTCGAAAAATTGTAAAGAATAAACATGGACATAGCATTTTGAGTTATGGACCTCTCGTTAATTTTAAACAACAAAAACCATTGCTTCTAATTAAACTTCTTGATCATTTAAGTAAATTTTATAAGTTTGTACTATTATGAAAAGAAATTTGTAAAAATTAGAAAATAAATAAAAAAAACACACAAATAGCAATATTTTGAACATAAGACTTCCTCATTAACTTTAAATAGAATAAACCACCACTTATAGTTAAACTTTAAAGTTTGTCATTTTCAATTTTTTATTCTGACGAAAAACTAACTACTAACGATAGGTCTTGTGCATCGAAAATAAAGTATTTTCGACGACTGGTCGAAAAAAAGTATTTCTAATGGGACAATTTCTGATGCACAATGTATAAAACGCCTTTTCCGACAACATCTGACCCTTGCTAATGACAATTTGTTTTGTAGTGTTTTTGATCATTTGGCCAAATTTTATAAATTTATACTCTTATAAAAAGAAATTCGTAAAAATTAGAAAATAAATAAACACACATAGTGTATAAATCCCAAGAACTCCTCATTAATTTTAAACAATAAAAACCACCAATTCTAGTTAAAGTTCTTCATCATTTAGCCAAATTCTATAAATTTATACCCTTATAAAAACATATGAGAAGTGACTCAACACCTTATAAGCCCTTACAACGTCGTCCATTTCTTCGATATGAGATCCTTACATCCTAACAAAGAGTTTTTCACAAAACTATTTTTACAACATGACTCACTTGTAACAATTAGATATCGGACTCGCCATAACCGGAGTTGTTGCTTATTTAATTCGGATCCATTAACTTTTAGGTGTAGTGCTAGTCAATTAGTAACCCTTTTTGTTCTAGAAAATAAAAGGCTATCAAATTCAGAGCATGCACTGCATACTCATGACGATGTATTGTATGGAAAGTTGAGAAACTCAGGCCAATAACAACAAGACAGCAAAGAGACTAAAATAATCAACCAGCCATGGACTCATGCAAATGACGATAGTAATTTCTGTAAAGCTGGAAACGAATGGCTCAGGCTTAGTTGAGTAACCCTGTACTAGTTAATTAATTAGCAGTTGGGTTTGGCAAACTTATAATATTAGTTGGTAGTTCTTACCAAATAGGAAAAGAAGATTGGTAGGTTGTCCAAGAAGTGATTAGAACTACAATGGGGGAGAGGGAATTCACAATTTTAATATAGAACTCGGATTGCATCGGGGTGTAAGAGTAAACACTTTTAAACACTCCCGAGTTACAACTTACAAGCCCCTTTCATTGTTCGCATAAATCCTTTAGCAACTTATTGAAAACCAAGTGACAGCTCAGCAAGTTAATTAGTGTAGACATTATTAGTTAAGTAATTATTGATAATAGTAATTAGTGATTTGTGTGTGTAGATCTGGTATAAGCCAGTTCATAATTTAATGAAACTTTTGCTGTTCAGTAAGAAAAGAAGCTTAGTTCCTCTCTGTTCACTCTTTTCTTTCTATCGAAGATTCACACTGCTTTATGGATCGGATCTCAAGGGTTTTTTCATGGATTTTATCATAATATCAGAGTAGGTTGTCCTATATGTGAAGCTCAATAGCCACATAAACTGTTTGTATTGTCCATGTATTTGGCTTGAAAATTCACCATACATGAGGGAGATGTTGAGAATAAATCTCACATTGATGAGAGTAGAGACCTCGCATAAGCTTATAAGTAAGTTAAGCTACTTCCTCATATTCTCAATTGGTTTTATGACGAAACCTAAACTTCCTTTATTCATTGGTTAAGAGATTTCAGGAGAATGTCATGCAAGGATGCAAACTCGTTGCCAATTAAAGATTGAAAAATTAATAAATTAAAATTCTCAAAATTTCTAATTCTACTGTACATGCAGATATATCACAGCCAATATACATAAACAACTAACTAGCTAGCACGATCCTATTCTATCTTATTAATCTATTTGACATTATCGTTGATCTGCAAGGCTAAGCCCATATGGCCATTACTGACATGCCTCCTGCCCCTTAAAGAACTGCAATATAAGACTATGTTTGGAGCTTCACGTTTGCATGCAGTTTAGTCCCCATGAAATCAGCTGCTAGGAGATCCACCAGCGCCATGTAGTTGAGCAGCCCTGCATTTAGCAGCCTTACCACAATCAGAGCCGTCGGACTGTCATCGCAGTATATATTTGACAGTGCAATCCCTAGTACTATCCCCAATGGTGGTGTGGCTGAGAAGAACATAATTATTACTTTCATATTGATACCATATTCAGCCTGCAAGCAACATTAATTTGAAGCATGTTTTAGAATTAATTATACAAGAGATGGTAGATTAGTTGGGTGATCTCACCTGTACGATGCATCCACCAAGACCCAGTTCTTCAAATAATTGATGGAAACAAAGGGCAGCAATGAGTGGTGTGATTGTGCATGGATTATCAGATGCCCCCATTTATAATCCAATCACTACAGCGTGCACTACAATCCCTAGTTCCAATACCTGCATGCATCAACACTCCAACTTAGTTAAATATGATTCAAACCCTAACTTAGTTTTTCAAAGTAATGCTCGATCAACATATTTAATTTAGTTGAATGCACTACGCAAATTTAGATTGCAGTTCAAATGATCAAAGTTTTTGAGCCGTTAACAAAAAAAAAAAAAAAAAAATAACACCAATTCATAATATTTATACCTGTACGACAACACGATATCTCAGCAAGTGAATTCTTATCATTGAGTCCATCCTCAGTCTAAATGTCATGGCCATGCCCAATAGCTATATTTGAGAAGACGTATATACTTTTGGCATTCTCCTCCTCTCCGCTGCGAGCTGCACTGCGAACTAAATACTCATAGAAAACGAGTCCACCATGAGAGTGAGCATGGCCGAAAGCATTTCCACAAACGTTGTGGATGGAAACTTCCTCCACGGATGTTCGGGCAACCACTCGGATTTCAAGCAATCAAACGAGTCGGGCAAAACGTGCAGGCACGTACCCCGTCCCGTGGCAAGTATGACGCCGGAGGGGAATGCTTTGAAGATGACGAACATGTTTTTGTCGGGCCGGAGAGCCGATACCTTGCGTGAAAACATCGGCATGCAGTACACAGATCCTGCTTGTGACCAAAATAGCACGCAAGGCAGTGGCTCCCATGAAAGGAGATCCTACAAAACTCACCCATCCAAAAATCCAACCTGACCACCGACATTAAATTGGGCCCAGTAATAGGCCCAATTATCCAGCTCACATTCTCTTGAATGCAAATTTACAACGGTCACCAGAACAGAAACATCAACAGCAACAGCAGCAGAGACGACACTGTTTCCTTATCCTCTTCTTCCTCTCCACCTTCTTCTTCTTCTTCTTTCTCTGTATCTCTCTCTGAACTTCCCTCCCTTTTTCTTCTTTTCCTTCTCAAATTCGATGCTATTACTCACAAATCCTCTCTCTTTCCGATGTTGCAAGAGGTCTCTGTCTCTCCCGCGCACAATGCCGCCCTCACTGCCACCGCCTTTCCCGTTCTTCAACCCAAAATCCCGCCATTTTCGTCTGCCTCCAAACCCTAACTCCAAGGTCATCTTTCTCCCCATTCTCCTTTTCACTTAAATCATGTAACTTTTGTTTGATATTTCGTATTGTTTTTGTTTTTAAGGCCGTTGGAGGAGTAAGATTCGACGGCCCGGCGATCGAAGTTGGCCAAGTGTCGGAAGCCGAGGACGGCGACTTGGTGATCGAGACCGGCGTCACGCGGACGCTGCCTCCGGCTTTGACTCTTCAGCAAGGACTTGAAAAAATCAGAGAGGCCGTTGAGGAGTTGAAGCGCAATCCTCCTTCCACTTGTACCGGAATTCATAGGTTTCAGGTAATTCAAAATCTCGGGTTTCTGACTGGTTTCTCGTACACTGTGCTTTGAATTGTGGATTTTGACGGCGAATTTCGCAGGTGGCCGTGCCCCCGAGTGCCAAAGCCTTGAACTGGTTTTGCAGTCAACCGGAGACTTCTGCGGTTTATCCTCTGTTTTTCATTGGCAAGGATGCCAAAAACCCGAGTTATAAGTCGCTGTATGCAAATGAAACTCGAGGAGTTTTCGGAATTGGTGCCGCAGTTCACTTTGCACCTTCATCATCTTCTTCTTCGGTCAAAAGGTTAGTTCTTGTCTTTCTTTTGTATTGTCAATTGATCACCGTTGTATGATAATGTAGAGTAATTTACTTATGCATAGTTTTCTTGTAGATATCTTTCAAATGAATCAACCTCTGTAATGGCTTATGGTTTGGTGGATATTAATTATGACCACGAGTCATCTTTCATAAAACATGAAGCAGGTTCTTACCACTTTTTCGTTCCTCAGGTAAATGTGCATGCTTGTTGGTTTGATTGTTCAATGCGTCGTTATGAGAATGATAATACTACTATTTAACTTACAAATATTGCCTTACAGATTGAGTTACATGAGTACGAGGGCGCTTCTGTTTTAGCAGCAACAATTGCTTGGAGTGACTCTTCCCTTGTACATTTGTGGAAGCCATTCATTCTTTTGAGTTATGTTTCAACCAGGTATCCTGTGGTTGTTGTCTCTCCTTTTTCCACTATTGTGCTATTTAGTTCTTTCCCCAAAAATTAAATAATCACGTTTCCTGATTTTATATGTTGTTGAAAGCGGCAGTCACGACTTTAAGTTCTACTCATCGTGTTGTTTACGCTATACCTTTTCAGGCTAGTTGTCACTGTTGGCACACGCCAAAGAGCTCCCACTCCATGAATATAAGACGTACTCTTGGAAAGCTCAAGCTTCATGAGTATGGAAATGTTCCTTTGGTATGAACTATGAAGATCAAGATTTTTCATAATTTATTTCACAAACAGGTTGTTTCTCTTTTGTCTAGTTTGTGAATGACAAAATTTTGTAGGTATACATGAACGCTCTGTCATCAAGCAGAAAATATGTTGTGGCTAACATCACGACGCTGGTATCCCCCCTTTCCTGGTAAATATTCATTTTCTACTGTTATTTTATTCGTTTTTTCAGTTGAAACATTCTTAGGCTGATTGAGTTAATATCATTTACTGCTTTGCAGAAAGAGACTCCGTTTTCCTGCCAGTTTTGTATCAAGCTTTCACCTACCATTGCAGTTTCTAGCAACATGGTACGTCTCAGTAAAGCATACGCTTATATGAACTTTGTATGCTTATGAACACTAGTAGTAGAAAACATAATTGCTTGGAAGAAGACACGCCACGTACTTTTTATTCTTAAAGATATTCTTTTGTTGATTACATTACATTGAGTTTTTATTTTGATACTGTTGGACGGAACAAACTTGGGTGAATATTGTTCAGGATTTGTGTCTTTTTCTACTATCAGTTGGACCATACCAATAAAATGTGCTACTCAGTTGAAGATTGGGCCAACATCAATACCGTTTGGGCATCACTTATAATTGAAGAATGTTCTCGACTTGGTTTGACGGTGAGATTACCGATTTTAAATCTTTCTACGTTTGTATGTTTTATGTATTCCTGATTCATTCATCTTTGTTCTAGTATTTTTGTGTAGCTCCAGGATCAAGATCATCCCCTCTTGCTGTTGCTGCCTCCACTCATCCTCTTATTACATGTATGGTATGTTATGACGAGCGCTCACTTGCATTTCATGCTGTTGGTTATGCAAGAGGATCTCAGAAGCCAGCTGTTGTCATAACGTCATCTGGAACTGCAGTTTCAAATCTTCTTCCTGCTGTGAGTTTACTCATCGTCGTTCATAAATAGTTATCTGTCTTCTCATTCATTGTTGTTTTACAAGTGTTGTTCAATACATGTCCAGGTTGTCGAGGCTAGTCAAGATTTTGTACCACTCCTATTGCTCACAGCTGACCGTCCTGCAGAATTGCATGATGCTGGAGCAAACCAAGCTATCAATCAGGTACATAGAAAAACTTAATTTGAGTTTTCCAGTAGTTTGTTTCATGGAAAATGCATGTTGTTTAATAGTATGGCTTCTTTTTAATAAAAATATGCATACGTTTATGTCGTATTTATTTGTGTGTGCTATACGGATAATACTCCTGGAATTGATCTACTTTGCATTTCCATGGTAATAAACTATCTGAGTATCTTGCAGTTGTAAATTATTCAATGCATGAGAAGAGACTGATGGAAAATGAAGGATTTGAGTCTAATACTAAAAGTAACAAAAAAAAAAAACAAAACATGTAATGTTGAGTTGGTGCTAAAATGAAGTTGCATGAAAAGCTAGTTAACATTGCTTTAAGCTTTTTGGTTTGACATTTTTGAATTTGTATTCCAGGTAAACCATTTTGGTTCTTTTGTGAGGTTTTTCTTCAGCCTTCCAGCAGCCACCGATCGTATTTCAGCAAGGATGGTACTTACAACACTTGACTCTGCTGTACATTGGGCAACCTCGTCACCGTGTGGCCCTGTTCATATTAACTGTCCTTTCAGGGAGCCACGGGAATATAGCCCTAGCAAATGGATGACGAGTTGTTTGAAAGGATTAGACTTTTGGATGTCTAGCACCGAGCCATTTACTAAGTATATTAAGGTACAGAGTGCTCACACGTATGATGATGGTTGTGGGCAAATGTCAGAGATTCTAAATCTAATTAGAGGGACTAATAAAGGGATTCTACTAATTGGTGCAATCCATTCAGAAGATGAGATGTGGGCAGTTCTTCTCTTGGTTAAACACCTTCAATGGCCTGTTGTAGCTGACATCCTGTCAGGATTACGATTGAGAAAGCTGCTGACTTCTTTTCCTGAAATTGGAGATGATTTGTTATTCGTTGATCATCTTGACCATGCTCTACTTTCAGATTCCGTGCGTAGTTGGATAAATTTTGATCTGATTATTCAGGTATGCGTCCACGACCCACCTCTTTCACTCAGCTTACTCTTATTGCTTCAAGTGGTAAATTTGCCGCTGTAAGAGTATATTTGTAACTCAGTAATATTCTTGAACTCTGTGGATTGTACTACAGATGCCAACTGCATGAGGAGCTATATTCTCTTCTTTTTTATTTAATCCTTTAATTTGTTTTACAAACAGATTGGGAGTAGAATTACAAGCAAGCGTGTTGCTAAAATGCTAGAGGACTGCTTTCCCTGCTCATATATCTTGGTTGACAAGCATCCATTTCGTCATGATCCCTCTCATATTGTAACCCATAGAATCCAAAGTAGCATTGTTGAATTTTCCGATTGTTTATGTAAAGCTGGGCTTCCCTGTATGAGCAAAGAATGGAGCACTTATCTTCAAACGTTAAATGTGATGGTAATGAATCACAAGAATGAGGCTCTACTTTTTATTTTAAATTATTTGGCCTTTTTTTGTTGCTTTCATCCAGATTTTGATATGTTCCAACCCTAGGACTAAACATTAAATTTCACCCAGGCATTTTTATTTTCCATCTGAAACTCCTGAGTAGCTCTCTCATGCATACATTTTCTGTCTGGATTCTGGAAGAAAACTGATAAAATTTGGCTGGAATGTTGATATCTTTCTTTTCTGTTTTGCCTTTTTGGGTTGTACCTTTTAAGTTCCCTTTTCCTATATTATAGGTTTCGAGGGAGTTGTCATTTCAAATTTATGCCAGAGACTTCTTGACTGAACCTCAAGTTGCAAGCGTGATATCCAAAGCACTTTCAGCCGAGTCTGCTCTTTTCATTGGGAACAGTATGGCGATACGTGATGCAGATATGTACGGATGTGGTTGGTCAGGTTGTAGTCATAATACTGCATCCATGATTTCAAAATTACAACTACCCTGTCATATGATTCGGGTGGCTGGGAATAGGGGTGCCAGTGGTATTGATGGGTTACTCAGCACAGCTGTTGGCTTTGCTGTTGGATGCAATAAACGAGTAAGTTTTTTTATATTGGTCTCATTTCTTGGAACTACCATTGTTTATTCTTGTGAACTGTACTTGAATGCCTTTTCCTTTGTGTTATGTTCAGGTGCTTTGCGTGATTGGGGATGTTTCTTTCCTCCACGATACAAATGGCTTGGCAATTGTGAACCAGAGGTAGGATGCTTATCTATTGGTTTTCCAGGCTTGTAAGTTCTGTTCCGGTCTATTGCTCCCTTCTCTTTTTCCACATCGCCTTTTCCTTTAAGTTTAAAATCTTTTGATCTGCCTTTCATTTCCTTAGAGGAGGTTATTGGTAATTCTATATGCTTTTTTTGTATCGTCTGCATGTTTGGTTTCTCTTTCTGCTGTCTTATAATCCAGACAAAGAATTTGTTTCTCGGTTTAACAAATTTACTACGTGATGAAGGACATTGCGGAAACCAATGACGATAGTTGTGATCAATAATCATGGTGGTGCAATATTCAGTCTCCTTCCTATAGCGGATACAGTTGAGCCAAGCATACTAAATCAATACTTCTACACCTCTCACAATGTTTCAATCCACAACCTGTGTGTGGCACATGGGTAAAAATCTTTATATATCTGAACTATAAACTTGGTTGACATGCGATATTCATGTAGTCATAAATCATCCTTTCTAGATTTCAGTGTGTGGTAATTGCTCGATTTGGAGGTGCTTAAAGTTGCCACTTGCGAAGTAATTCGATAGATAGTTAACATGAAAGAATAGGGTTTGAGGGTGTTGGAGTAATGATCACCCATTTAGGGCATCACCAAGCAATGAACGACCTTGAAACAACACACAGCCAATTGGGTATATTAGTGTGAATATCCGAGATATATGGAATTTGAAATTGTCTCAAGAATGTGCTTGCATATATGATTTTGATAGTTGATCAACTGCACCAATGCTTACATTTTCCATCTTCATCGTTGAATTCCTTTCACCAAACTGTAAACCCATTGTTTTTAAGACTTCAAAACAATTATTTCAGTGTGATGCATCTACATGTGAAGACAAAGGTGGAGCTGGAAGATGCATTATTGACATCTCAAGATAAAGAGGTGGATTGTGTCATTGAAGTTGAGGGCTGCATAGATGCCAATGCCACCTTTCACAGGTTTGTGGTTATGCTACCTTGATGATAAGTTATTTTTAGGGTAAATCTCAGTTTACCACCCTTAAGTTTTGTGGTTTTCAACATTTAGTACATGAAGTTTTTTTTTCGTCCCAGAGTCATACCTAAAGTGTTTATTTTGGGACAATGACTGTTAATTCTGGGATGAAAAAAACTTCGTGTAATAAATGTTGAAAACCACGAAACTTAAGGGTAGTAAAGATTTACCCTTATTTCTATCAGCTTATTAACTGACTGCGGACATATTATTTCCCTCTTTTCCTTATTTTTATCGGCTTATTAACTGACTGCAGACAAATTCTTTCCCTCTTTAGTACTTACAAAAAGAAAAATATCATCTTATCTCAGTACTTTAAGAAAGTTTGCGTGCCAAGCAGCAGATCATGCGTTGAGCCTCTCCTCAAAGATTTCTGTTCAAGACTCACCAGCTGATGGCACTTTACTTTATAGAGTCCATAGAATGGAGTATTCAGTATTTAGGTGAATTCTTTGATGATGGAATAAATTTTTAGTATTCTTTAATTATGCTTGGAAAGAAGGATTTGATATATTTTTATTCTGTTTTGGACAGTATACCACTCTGTGCTCCTCCTACTATGGTTTCTGTTGATGATAATGAAACCAGCTTCTACAGAGAAGGGTTTATTTTAACTTTGTATCTTGAGGATGGAAGCATTGGGTTTGGCGAGGTTAGTTTTGGTACAAATTTTCAACTAATCCACTTGTGTTTCTATAATCCTTATTTGACCATCGATGACTTTAATTAAACAGGTTTCGCCTCTCGATATCCACAGAGAAAGCCTGCTTGATGTAGAAGAGCAACTGAGGTTACTTGTTCATATGATGGAAGGAGCTAAGATTAGTTGCTTCCTTCCTCTGCTAAAGGGCTCTTTTTCTTCTTGGATATGGACCAACCTGGGAATACTGGTAAATCCTTTTTTTTAACGTACTTATCAGAAAGGGAAAAAGATAGAGCTCTGTTATAAATATATCTTCATAGAACATATGCTTTTGATTGTGATACAGCCATGCACGCTCTTGCCTAGTGTTAGATGTGGTTTGGAAATGGCAATTCTCAATGCATTAGCGACAAGGCAAGGTTCCAACTTATTAGGCCTACTCCATCCCTTGAAAGCTGAAGGAGGTATATCTGAAAGGCCGATGACAGTTCAGATTTGTGCCCTAGTTGATTCCAATAGAACGCCCACTCAAGTAGCTGATGTTGTAGCAGCACTTGTTGAAGAAGGATTTACTGCAGTAAAGCTGAAGGTACTTCTCTCTTCTCTCTGAACGTATATTGAAATATTACAAAAGATATGGTCAAATTGAATTTTTTATTATGCATAAAAAAGTAAAGGCTTGGTTTGTGGCTTTCCAATGACTTTGCAACAGGTAGCACGTCAGGGGAGTCCCTTGCACGATGCTGCAGTTATACAGGCAGTAAGAAAGAAAGTTGGGTACCAGATTCAAGTTCGTGCAGATGCCAATCGGAACTGGACATATAAAGAAGCTATCCAGTTTGGTTCCTTGGTAAAGGATTGTGATCTGCAGTATATTGAGGTATACTCTAAAAAATTTGTTAACTTATCGTTTTTACTCTACTCTACAACTGCGTCCCAAGGGATGGAATCTATTTCTGATCAAATTTTATGTGGTTGCCATACTTTTAATTTTGATGATTTAACATTGTGCGGCTTGTGCCTCATCTTCCTTTGTTAATATGAATTTAGGATTAATGATGCTTGTGACTATATTTTTAATGTCTTCGTTGACCTTATCACTATTTATTTATTTCAGGAACCTGTTCAAAACGAAGGTGATATTGTCAAGTTCTGTGAAGAAAGCGGGTTACCCGTGGCACTGGATGAAACTATTGACAGTATTAGAGAACATCCACTTGACAAGCTAGTGAAGTACACCCATCCAGGAATAGTAGCTATTGTAAGTGGCAGTTTATGCATTGCTCATTAGTATCTTTTGCATTTTGATGTCTTCGTTACTGAAATTCATGACCCTTTGTAAAATTTCAATGGTGTATCCTGATTTAGGTTGTTCATATTGGTTTTTTCAGGTTATTAAACCTAGTGTTGTTGGTGGCTTTGAAAATGCAGCAATAATTGCTCAGTGGGCTCAGCAGCACCAGAAAATGGCCGTTGTTAGTGCTGCATTTGAAAGTGGCCTAGGTTTGTCAGCATATATTCAGTTTTGCTGTTATCTCAACCTGAAAAATTCAGAAATCTGTGAAATGATGAATTATGAATTGGCCCCGTCAATAGCCCATGGTTTAGGAACATACCGCTGGCTAAAAGAAGATGTAACAACCACTCCTCTCAAGATAGGTTGTAATCCAGTCAGTGGCTTCGTAGAAGCATCTGTTGCTGATGCTGATCAAGTTATTCAAAAATTTCAAATAAATGGCAATGTAGTTCATAGAAATTTTACTGGAGAGCAAGTCCGCGTATTCCAGCTTACTGTAGATTCAAAGGCTTTCTCTTATTCCATCATAGTCCACGAGATTGGAGAAAGATACAATGTTAGTAAAAATTTCATATCCTTGACACTCTCTGTCTTAGCTTACATGTATTACATCTCCTATACTGCATGCTCACTATACCAAAATCATGCTCATGCAGGAAAATGTTTTTGTATTTCTTCATGGGTTTCTTGGAACTGGTGAAGATTGGATTGCTATGATGAAGGCGATTTCAGGATGTGCAAGATGCATTTCGATTGACCTTCCTGGTCATGGTGGAACAAAGATACAGAACCATGGTGATAACGATGCTGTACAGGATTCAGGTTTGTCAATTGAGGTTGTTGCCGATCTTTTATGTGAAGTGATTAAACAGATTACGCCTGGAAAGGTTACTATTGTGGGTTACTCTATGGGAGCAAGGATTGCACTCTACATGGCTTTGAGGTGTACAGACAAAGTATGTATACAGTTTTGAAGATTTTCATTTCAAATTTAGCTCTAGTTTAAGTGTTGTTAACAATAGTGGGAATTTTGTTATGAAGGTCAATGGAGCTGTTGTAATATCTGGAAGCCCTGGGTTAAAAGATGAAGTGGATAGAAAAATTCGTAGAGCTAAGGATGACTCTAGAGCTCGCTTCCTTATTGATCACGGCTTAGAGCTCTTCCTAGACACCTGGTATTCTGGAGAGCTGTGGAACAGGTACTTTTAGGTTTTTCGGCCTTAACGGTGTTTGGATTATTAGATTTTCCATTATTCACACGCTTCAGTAACCCTATGTGTAATTTGAACAGCTTAAGAGTCCATCCCCGATTTCGTCAGATAGTTTCCAGCCGCCTGCATCATGAAGATGTGCAGAGTCTTGCAAAAGTGCTTTCCGGTTTAAGTATTGGGAGGCAGCCGTAAGCTTCCCTGACCATTTTACTGATTATTTGATTCCCACACTACAATACTTATACTAGATACGTTTTGAAATCTGAATTATACTTTGTTTGCATGTCAGGCCATTGTGGGAAGACTTGAAGCACTGCAAAACACCCCTTTTGCTAATTGTTGGAGAGGAGGATAAAAAGTTCAAGGCGATAGCTAAGGATATGTCCTGTGAATTTGCTGGTGGCACGGCGAGTGGAGACGGCCCTCCCCATGACATCTATGAGATAGTTGAGATTCCAGATTGCGGACATGCTGCTCATCTGGAGAACCCTCTCCCTGTAATCAGCACATTGAGACGATTTTTGGGGAGAGTGAACTCGAATTTGATTCAAAACCAGAAGGCAATTTAGAGATGTTACTATCTTCGCTCTTTTACGCATTTGCTTTGTGATGGATACATTGGGGATGTCCATAAATACATAAATCGTGGCAGTCATACAGAAGCATAGCAACGAATATTGCCAACTTGCTATCTGTCTAAGCAACTGCATTTTCCATCGCTACATGATGCTGTCGCCAACGCACTTCATTTTACCTTCACGGCTAGTCAAACATCGGCCTCTTTCCGGTGACTGGACGATTTCTGGTGCTGGCTCAAAGCCACCCAAAAACTCTGCATGTGTATTTGATGTCGAGGCAAATTACTGTGCCTCAAGATCTAGAGCGTTCGGTTTTGTTGCACCGAGAGTCAGAAGAACATCGTTTTTTAACCAAACTGCTGGATTCACTCAAGAACTCTTGTTCTTAGATTGTAATCCTCATTGTGTTGAATTATCAATATATCGTTGCATTTAAGGAGGGGGTTTTAATAGAAAATTCGTCACAAAACATTTTTCATTAAACAGAAAACTACTCTTAGGCCACTTACTACATTCTAATGACATTTATCTTTAATTACTTGAAAAATAAGATGTTTTAGGTTCGAATCTCGTGATGGTAAGTACGATACTATTTGATTCTCACTCCTTGGTAAAAATATATTGTATAAAAAAAATATTATAAAACAATAATCCAACATGGTACAACTTTCTTGTTTTTCGCTTTTTTTATTTATTTTATGTCTTTAATAATAAAGAAAATTGTTTACTTATAGGTTGTTATGAATTGGTTTTCAATAGCTAAGCTAAGCATGCTTAGCTGCTAATTTTCAGATTAGTTTTAAGCTGGGACACAATCTCAAGTACAAATGAATACTAAGTGACAATAACAACGACTTGATAAAATTTTGGTGAAGCAAATATCATGCAAGCGCTGAAACGTGATGATTTTATTTTATTTTTACTTTTTTGCTACAAGTAATTGTGATTATTGCCAACCAACTTATGCAGCCTTGGGCATACGCCTAATATAAAAAATTGTCAAGCTTATGTAATCTTGTTCGATTATATTCGGACTAATGCTGTTTAAATTATTCTTACGAGATTGATGGACAAAACCATATTTTAAAAACATTTTTCAGTTACTCTTAAAACATGAAGAAGGCTCTATATATGTAAACCATTCATAAGAAAGAGATAACTAAACATTTTTTTTTTTCAATATTCTTTCTATCTTTCTGTAGAAAGAAGATTAATACATACTTATTCTGCTAATTGAACATTTAAGTTGCACCCAAGCTAGCTTATGTGCGCAACTAGGAGAGACTGTGTAGAGTTAAGATACTGCGAGGCTCGATCAAGGCAAGTTAACGCATTTGCATTGCGCATTAACACATTGGAGCGTTCCCCATGGACATAAATAATTAATCTTGTCGCAGTCAGTCTGTTGAGAACATTTACCGATTGGATTTGGCAGATAGGGAACGCATTTGCATTGCCCATTAACACATTGGAGCTTTCCTGATGTACATAAATAATTAATCATGTCGCAGTCCTTCTGTTTAGAACATTTACCAATTTCATTTGGCAGCAGATAACCAACGCATTTGCATTGTCCATCAACGCAGGAAAGCTTTCCCGATGGACATAAATAATTAATCTTGTCGCAGTCGGTCTGGTTGGAACATTTGTTAATTTGATTTAGCTGGCGGCGAGGGCATCTGCATTCACCATCAGCACAGAGGAGCTTTCCCCATGGACATTTATAATTAATCTTGTCGCAGTCAGTCTGATTGGAACATGTACCAATTTTCCCATCGTCCTGATCAATATTTGGAACTGCTTCGGCTTTTGAGAACACTGGTACACCAGCACATAAAAAACCACACTCCATTTAGAGACTTTTAATTATGTAAATAAAATACCATTTCGACACGCAAAATGGAGAATATTGCATTAGACATTCTTTCATACAAACTGTAATAATAATGTAATATTTGTATTCGAAGATACTAGTTTAAAAAACTCACAAGATACAATAACGAAGAATACGAAGATGATAGCTGCCTTAGATGTAACATTCTCCATGCTTTTGTTTATTGTGTCAACCTTTGATAGTGATCAATTTCAAGGCTTGTTTTGCAGGGTACGTAGGTGGTGAGACCCTTGGGCTATATTTATATTATAGGCGTTGGTATATTTGTGGAAGTTTTTTTTTTTTTTTAAAGAAAGTTGAGCGTTAGAGAAATCGAGAAATAACTAGTCGTGTAACTGATTTCCCAAAATTAAACTAAATATATAGAAACAAAATCTGAATATGAGAATTGAGATTTCACAATTTTCTTACTCCGATCCATAAAAAAGTCTTGAACTCAACATGGAAAATGACTGAATAGATAGAAAAAAATCTGAATTTGGGAATGAAAGAATTAAGCATTAACGATTCACGATTTCCTTACTCAAAATCAATAAAAAAGAAATCTTGAATCCAAGATGAAAGGATCTGAATATATAGAATATATATATGAATTGGAATGAAAGAATTACGAATTCACAATTTTCTTGCTCCAAATCCATAAAAAAAGAAATCTTGACTCCAACATTAGAAAAGAGATAACAAATCTGGAAATGAAACAATTAAGAATTCACAATTCATAACTTCCTTGCTTATAATCCATATATAAAAATGAAATCTTGAATCCAACATAGAAAATAACTGAATATATAGAAAAAAATTGAATTTGGTAATGAAAAAATTCAAAATTTCCTTGCTACCAATCCATAAAAAGAAGTCTTGAATCCAAGATGAAAAAAACTGAATGTGTAGAAAAAAGTTCTGAATTTGGAAACGAAAGAATTGAGAAATCATGCTTTGAATCCATAAAAAAGGAATCTTGAATCCAACATGAAAAATAACTGAATATATAGAAGAAGAAAATTTCTTGAATATACTAAGTCAAATATCATACGCAAAGGTTTGGCATAAATCATAGCGTAATCTAATATATTGTTGAGAATGAAACCTATATTGATAAGAGAAGAGACCTTGTATAGACTTATAAGTAAGTTGAACTACTATTCATATTCTCAATTGATTTTATAGTTCATCCTTCATATCGGAGATGTGAAATAGAAAAGCTTTGTTGGGGAAATATATATAATTCCTTCTTTGATCAATTTTTTAACCCTACGGCCACACATTATTGATTTGGTGCCAACGGTAGCTTACATCAATCAAGGCGTAACCATTTTCCATCTTTACAAAACCATATTTTTTCCTGAGATCCTTAATGTAGTGTATTTTATTGAATATCGTAATTCACTTGAAATAAAAATCACGTTCGAACTGTTTCTCTGTAGATTCTGTCATCCATAGTTTTTCTACAGATTGTCATTCATAGTTGATAGTTCGAAAATTTTATTACGTTACGAGTATTTTAGTCACCTTCAACCAATAATATACCGGTTAAACAAGCAAACAGAGTGTATAACACCTGGAACATACTTGCTAATGCAACATTTATATTGAATTACACCTAGCCAGCTTAGTCCCTTATTTTAAATAGCAAGCAGAGAAAATGTAGCTAAGACCTTTATTAGTGAAGATGAACGTATGACTTGATCAAGGCGAATCAGCGCACATGCATTGACCAAAACACAGTCGAGCTTTCCCGTTAATGTTCACATGGAGCGCACCTTCTTGCAGTTAGTTTGTTTGTAACATTATATTGTCTCATGTGACGAACATTATTTGTTTCCAGAGCGACGCGGATTATGAGAATAATGGTTACCTGCAAAATAAAAAGGCAACACAAAATACTCCATTCACTAGACTATCAGTGGTTAAGAAAACTCACAAGATGCAGTGACCAAGAAAACGACCATCATATATAGCTGCCTACATCTTTCTCCATTTTATTCAAATTGTGCTGTGAATTTTGGGATGATGTGATGATCGATTTCAAGGCTTTTGTTTTAATTTATACTGTAGGACTGTTGGCATTTCTAGTAGCTAGTTTAGGCTTTTAGTGGTGAGAAAATCTAATTTTTCTAAAAAGTATCAAGTGATACAAGTCATTTCCAACCCGAGAGTTACCGATAAGAAAATTAAACTGGATATTAGGAAAATTTAAGGCTTGGGAATGACAATCCTTAGTTTTCATGTTTAGTTTTTTTTTTTTTTTTTTTTTTTTGGGTCAATATATGTTTAGTATCCTTAACAAAGAAATGATGAATCTAACAGGGAAACATGAGAAAAAAAAATGCTGAAAGGAAATGATGAAATCTACAAGACGAATTTTTATTAAATTGCAAGCAAAATCGGGTAAGGGAAAATTTGATACTTTTATGTATTTTTATTTTTGTTTTCCTTTTGGGTTATGATTGTTTTCTATTTAAACCAACTTATGTAATTGTATTTAGAATTACTAATAAAATTTTAGAGAACCCAAATACCTCCATAATTTTATATCTACACTTTTCACTATGCTAAGTGAGTTTGTATTTTTCACAAAATCATCACCAACTGCAAAAAATAAAAACAACATTATTGGTTCACTGTGATTATTATGATACACAGCCATCTAAAGAAACATCAAAAATCAAAACAATCAAACAATAAAATTCCAAAACTCACCAAAATTGAGAAGCAGCATGGTAGCTATGTTCAAAAGGCACATGAAGCTTGCCACATATGCATTGGCTACTTTAATTAGGTTATGCCCCTCACCTTTGACTTTTCCAATGGCTCTGTTTCTTTTTACTAGTCTTCATGCACACGTTCACACGCGTGTAAAAGATTTTTTTTGAATCACAGCGTGCTACGCGTGATTTATACATTTTAAATGTATTTATATGTGTGAATTGCTTCAATATTTTTTTATGACAAAAAGAAAGTCAAATATGTGGACTAAATGAATAATATTAGACTATGCTCGAAGAAATCCTTCATAAACTAATCAAAGCAGTTGAGTCCACATAATAAAATCGGTCTTTCAATTTTCATCTACATTCTATTGAATTTACATTAAAAATAGAGAAAATAATATTTAATAAATAACTTATTAAAGTATATTATTGCTAGCTCATTGTGAGGCTAAGCCCACCCCCTCCCCTTAGTGTAGATAATATCATTTGTTAAAATAAAAAAATAAAAAAATCACTTGACAACTAATTGAATCACATTATTATGCTCGTGCGAAAACCTTTTTTTATAACCGGCACTAAGTGCCTCTTAAGTGTTTAAAAATAGAGAAAATAATATTTAATAAATAAATGACTGAATCACATTATTGTGTGAGTGCAAAAGGCCTTTTTTATCATTGGCGGTACATGCCTCTTAAAATATTTTGAACGTGTTTAAAAATAAAGAAAATAATATTTAATAAACAACTAATTGAATCACATTATTGCTAGCCCATTGTAAGGCTAAGCCCATCCTCTCTCCCTTAGTGTAGATAATATCGTTTGTTAAAAAAA